GACCCGCCGGGAGTTGCTAGGGCAGAAAAATCTCCGACGATCGTGCACGCAGCGCACGCACACCTGATTGGAATGGATATGAGCAACACATCTCGAAGAACAACAGTTACAACGGTGAGTAACCGTCTTTTATGTGAGGAAGGGTGACTGCTGTACAAGAGGCTCTTAGCCCCACCCTGGATTTCAAACTTCTGAATAATTCTGTAGAAAATGGAGATTTCAGGATTTTTTTTTCAGTATCTATTTTTCCCTTACAAAATACATGAGACTGGATGTATGCTCTGAACCAGATGCAAATTGTTCTACACACGTGGTTCCTTGGGATAATTACGCAAGATGAAGAACTGTCAGCTTATAAATACTTTCAGGAACTGTTAAATTTATTCCATACAGGCTTTTTCTTCCTTGTAACAGAAACTTTGGCATTTTTCCCTTTACGTACTTTAATAGCTGGCATTATGTGGCTTAAAGTAAAGATGTAGAAGCAGTATTACTAGTTAAAATATATCTATCATTTTGTTGAAATTTCTTAGTGTTCATTTGAGCCATATCTCGGCAAGTAACAAAGTGAAGGTTTCTTGGTTAGTAAAATTAAATTAAACTCAAGGACATATCTGCTAAGTTTATCTTATTACATTGCTATGCTTTTATTTTGGAGGCCATTGTTATACAAAATAATTCTAAAAGTCAACCCAGTTTAGAGGAGTCTAAAATGAACGAATCGTGTACTTTCACCAGAATAATTTGACTTCTTGAAAAAAATAAAACAAATACATTCCTTACATTTGTAATACACATATCATTTTGCAAACATAAAACCCATTCTACCCTATGTATAGAGAGCAAATACGTTGTGAAATACAAGAAGTGACTTTGATGTTGTATCCTGAACTGGTATTAATTAGCTGGATCCTGAGTTGGTATTAATTAGCATAACTCCACTGAATTCAGTGGAGCTATGCCAGTTTACACCAGCTGAGGACCTGGCTCTTGATGTCTAAACAATGCATTAGTGTCTTTGCTGTTGAATGTTATGCCAGATATTTAGTTAACGGTTATGTATTGTAATATTCCATTTTACTTTCAAGGATAATGGTACTCCAGGGTCGACTTTAAGGATTATGATCAGTGTAAATGGGAAATGCTTGGCTAAATCCCTGCACTTTGTGCTAAGAATTTACCTCTTTAAAATACGATATAAATTGTTGGCAGTTGAAAGTATTAGCCACCACTCTGTTTTTGTCTTGTTTCTGGATTCTTCTATAGGGATGGGTTAGCCACCTACCCACCCAAAGACTCAGTGGTCCAAGGAAGGATAGTTATTTACTACTCAACCCAATGAGTACTGATACGCTTTTCATGATTTACAGAGGTGTAATGTCTCTAACCATTGTGATCTTTTGAGAATAATGTAAGTGTGGAAAATGGTGATTGATGGAATGGTGTTGCAGCCTTGAAGGTCATTTCCCTAGGGCACTGGAATTGTGCAGGGATTTTGGTAAAATGCTTTACTAAACTTTTCTTTTGCATAAGCTGTTAAAAGGACGTTGCCAACCCCTTTTTAAAAAATGCATGTTATTTCACTGACTGTTTATAACATCTTAAATCCTTGAAAATAAATCTTCTCTCTCTGCCAGTTTATTCCCATTTGGCAATTTCCCCTCTCCTCCTTCCCACTCTCATTTTCAATGAAGCTCCTTGAGGTTTACATGCTCTTTTGTGCTCTATCTTCAGTAATGGTGACTCCACTTACTCTGGGAGTTGGGTTACTTTAACTTGTACTTATTTTGACAGATGAAGAGGGAGGCATTTTACAGGGGACTCTAGATCTGGAGTCAGTCCCTAGTTCTGCAATCAATTTCCTCCATGACCTTGGGCAAGTCTCTGTGCCTTGGTTCCCCATATGTCAAATGAGGATTATAATGTCTCCTTTTTATCTGCTTTGTCTCTTTAGACCCCAATCCAGCAAAGCTGTTAAGTACACTGTAACTTTAAGTGTGTGAGTAGTCCTGTCGACTTTAATGGGAGTACTCAAACCTTGAAAGTTAAGTATTTGCATAAGTCTTTGTTGGACCCAGGGCCTTAGATTGCAGGCTCTTTGAAAGCTGTCTCTTCCTGAGGTGCTAATCTCAGCTGATTGCTCTAGGTACCTATGCGGCAGTAGCAGAGCATTACCAGGAATAGTGGCTATAAAGAAGGGTTTTGTTGTAGTTTGATTTCTAAATGCCACTGTGGGAGATTTATTGAAAGAGGTCTTTAGTTTTGGAAAGATGTTTCTCAAAAGATTCTACACTTTCAAGGCAGGTAACATTTTGGGCCCGAACTACATAATATTCATTGGGGATTTTTTTAGCCAAAAAGACAAAATATTGAAAAAAGTTAAGGGGGTAGGGCATTTCTAATGTTGTTTTTCAAGTTAGCGTCAAACCACAGACAGAACAAGTGATGGGTAATGTCTGTGCAAAATGAAGGCACTCAATATGTATTTAACAGACAATGGAAAAGCGCGAGGGTGTTTTCCGTTCTAGCATCTATGAAAATAAAATAAATATGCTTTAAAACAGCACTTTCATTACTTCAACAGATTAGTAAGAAAAAGAGGAACGCAATCAGAAAACTTTTACTTCCATCCCAATTCTGTGCGTTATTCACAACTATTAATATAATGGACCAGCTCCTCCAGTTTAAGGCTCCATGTGCGGCATGGCATCTGCACCCCAGACCACATAGTTAACATTCCACTAAGGAGGTCTAACACAAGTAGCACTTCACTGAACAGCCTAGCACCTATAGCAGTGCACTAAAGTCTCTTAAATAATTAGCACCCTATAGAGCTAAGGCAAGTCATGATCCCCAGCCTAAAATGTTTCCCATGTCATCTATGAAAATACAAGTTTCCAGAGGAGTTTTAAAGAGGTGCTTTGGAGAGGAACAGGAAGACTGTTCCAGAAGGCAGGAACTATGGGAGAGCAGGCTTTCCCACCACCACAAACCCTAATAAGGGACAAAGATGAATCCCCGGCAGAGGGAATTTAGGGGAATAGAGAGAGATGGCTCAAGAAACAGGATGGGAGGTGAGGGGGGGCCGCAAGTTTTATGGACACTTTCACAAAAGAAAGGGGGGGGCAGTTTGACCTGGATCGTGAAATGATTTGGTGCCCAGAGGAGATGTTTCAGGATAAGTGTGGGGTAGCCATATATGTCTGAGAAGGAGGGATTCTGCCCCTGGTAGATTCTGGACAACCAGGACTTTGGGGTAACTCTACAGAATGAAGTTAAAGTAGTCCGTCAAGATGAGATGAAATGAAAGTACAGAAGAGGATTCCAGCAGAAGTGTGGAGGACTGGCATACAAAACCAATGTTGCAGCCATCATAACAGGCAGGTTTGCCCAGACAAATATTGGAGAAGAATTCAGCTGAGGATAAAACTAAGATTGCGTGCACTGCAGTCAAATGGGATTTCTGAGTCAAGCGAGGAGATAAAAGACATGGTGCTTATGTGAGGATTTTGTTCTTGTCCTTCAGAAGCACTTCTGTCTTTGAGACATGTAGCTGATGGTAACTTCAAGGAAATTAACTGCCTGACAAGGGGATGATTACTGCAGAAAATATAAAAACACAAAGAAAAATAATATAATTGCCTTTCTGTCCATTGAAAACCTAAACAATGAACTTCACATTACTAAGAATACAGCGTTCTGTTGCGGGGCTCGCCTTTTCTTGGCAAGCTAAAGGACAGCATATTAACCATTATAAAGCAATACTCATCACAGTACAGTTAAACAGGATACTTGAAGGTATTAACTTTTCAGTCTGAAGAAGATGAAAATATCTGTGGCACTTTATTACAGCAGAAGTTCTTGTGAAAATTGAAGACATGGTGGTATTAAATGGAAACTTTTTCCTTACTCTAAACTCTCTTATGGAACTGTTACTTCTGGATCTCTACTCTGCATGTTAGTGTCCATATTTAAGACTAAGGTGAACCTAATTTACATCCCATCCTCTCATTGGACTGTTACCTTGTTGTGGTAGAGAGGCTTGTCCGTCCCAATGACCCTCAGAACTACATCGTCCAGAGTCTTGTACTCCTGGTAGGGCCACCCTTGACAAACAGGTCTGAGGTGAGGTTCCAGACTAAGCGTGGTCCAAGCTTTTCAAGACAGGTCAGGCTATGCCTTCTACCGTAAGTAACAGTAGATAGTACTACCTGTGACTGTTGGCCAGAGTGGACAGCTATTCCTGACTCCCTCTGGAAAGTCCTCTCTGGTGGACCAGGTGGCCAAGCAGATATGCCCATCTCCCCAACTGTGAAAGTGGATGGCAAGAGCTGTGTGGACAGCCTAGGCCATAAGTTCGAGTGCAGTAGGACCTGATGGCCATCCATACATCCAAACTTGTCTCCAAACATTCTTGACATTGGCGTGCCACTGGATTCAGACAGGCCTGGACGAGAGAGTGAGGGTGACTCTGCACAGCTTTCCCTCACTTAAATCCAATTCACGCGGTAGTCATGACATCGTTTAAGGGAATCTGTGTGTTTTCTTTGCTCTGCTGCTCTCTGTGATAAAGTTAAAGGCTTTAATTTGGAAGCCTTGTTCACACGAGGAAAAATCAGATTTTCAGTTTGCCACGAGTAAAACTCCACTAGTAGTAGCAACAGGGGAAGCCTGAGCATAGACAGAGTGCAGGTGTTGCTATCATTGGGGGAGCTGCATTGGTTGAAAATTACAGGTCTTAATTTAGCCAGAGATCACATCCCTGGTTAACTATCCCATCCAAATATGGAGAAGAGAAAGCTATTGCCATGCCTCTCTGTGTGAAGGGATTTTATCTCATTTTTGCAAATCACCTTTCCTGCTAAGACTTGTAAGAGTTTCAGCTGTAGTTTTCTTTACTTTTGGTGACTTTTAGTTTGCCTCTCTCCCTGGGAACTGCTGTTGCTTTGTCTTCCCTCCATTCATATTCTGTTTTTCTTTCTTTTTTTTGCTGCATGGAGACTCTCTGCTGTACAAGTGTAAGTATTTTTTTAGCTCTGCTTTTTCTGGCCTACTTGTTTATGTTTTTGTGCTCCATTTGCTTCTGTGCTGCCTTCCTAGTCTCCTGGGAGATTGTAGTGTCATCCATCTTCAGTTACTGAATGAAATATGCAGCAATTTAGAGATGAGATTAGGTTTTACAAGAAGGTTGAGATAACATAACATCTGATGAATTGAAAACAGCCCTGGACTTTAAGACTAAATGAAGCAGAATGCTGATGAAAGAGGTACAAACAAAAATGTTACTGCTCAAGAAAACTCTGTTCATTCAGTTTGGTATTGAAACCGAGTCCATCTTAATGAAATGACATCTTACAATGAGCAGAAATTGAGATTTTCCAGTCATAGAAATCTGAGATTGAAGAGACCCGTTAGGTCATCGTGTTTTGGCTGGTTTGTTTTCCTTTGTTACGTTGAATAGTACCTAGTTTATGAATGCTGGTCTCACAATTAACTTCCTACACTGTCACTTTCTCTGCTTCGTCGCAAGTGGAAAATGCATATGTAGGTGTTTTGTGGGTTTTTTAAACACATCTTTGAAAAGTAAAATGGGCATGAAGGGAGAGAGGGCAAATCACTGGGCTTCTGTGGTTGGAACAAGATCAAATTTGAAAACTTTTGGAGGGGCGGGGGAAATTTGGAAAGTGCTATATCCTGATTGGGAGTTATGTCAGTTGTTCTAATCTGCATGACTATTTTATAAAGATTAAAACATTCTGCTGCTTACCACACATTGTTTTCTAAAACCTAGAAAAGTGCCCTGAGTGTTTATATGTGGTTCTAGTTGTTTTTCCCCCAAGCCCTAGCATTCCTCCACATTTAGTTATATAATTGGAAAGGAAATGTAGGGGGATAGCCCCAAGTGATTCCAGAAGGGGAAGAATTAGAGTCAGAAGGCAAGGGATCTGGTAAAGTAACTCAGTTACTTCAGAAAATGGCATGGGACTTGGGAGTTCAAAGGTAGATTGGACCAGGGGAGCTTCATGGGAATATCTGACCCTCCCATTAAAGAGTCCTTAATCAGTGAGCATGGTTTAGTTTGTTGGGTCCTTGCTACTGAAGAGGGCTGACCCACTTATATGGAGACACCTCCACAGGGGAAATAACTGGTGTGGGTGGACACAGAGACCTGAACATGCTATCTAGATTCTGAGCCCCTGTCCCTGGTGGAGCAAAGGTTTGTGGACTTGGGAGTAAGTGTAGCAAAACTCTCTGTGTGTGGCTTCTATGTGGGTCTCCTCAAAGACAGAGCGACCTCTAGCCTTTTGTCTGTTCCATTCAGCCACCTGCACCATACTTGGGAAGAGTGGGCGAGGATGGAGAGAGCCAGAAAAAGCTCAGTGCATTTGCCCATTCAAGTAAAATCTGTGGAGGAAATGTCACTCACTGCAGCCCCAAAATTTGGCTGTAAAAGCCAGGATTGTAACAGGAGGCAGAAGAACTGAGTCGCTCCTCTGTTTGCATGGCCAGAGGCAGAGAATTGTTGAGAGAAGGTAGAAGGGGCCTGACCATAGGGAAGTCTCAACAGCCTCTGGTTAGGAAATTGGATGCAAGCCCACCGTCTCAGGCTGGGAGAGAGCTCACGATCCAGAAGTTCACATGTCCTCAGTAGTAATGAAACATCCTGGGCTGCCAGAGGATATCGCACACTGGTTGAGATTAAGTCGTATAATAACCTCTAAAAAGAGCACACCGGCATGTTTAAAATAACGCTTTGACCCATTTTGCTGCGCATGTGATCCAGAAAGGTCACTTGGTAAGAAGCCCATCTTGTTACTTGTACAAAATGTAAATGGTTTAGACAACTTAAAAGTTTTCAAATAAAATTGTATGTATAGTCACTCCTCATGCTGTCCCTTCCACCTCCAGCCCCGACAACACTGCGGTTGGTGGGTCCTGCTTAGCTGACAGATTGACACATGATCACCAGCCTGAGACTGATCATGGGTCATAGTCTCCCCTTCCAATGACATCTCAGTGAAGATGACATCCAGTGCCTGGCTGGGAGCATCCGTGCAAGAATATTAGTGCTTGTCCTATGCAGCTATGTATTGGTGCCCCGATTTGGCATTCTAGTGCTATGCAGCTCTTGTAGAGCCCAACTGTTATTCCAAGAAGACCTGTTCAAACTGAAATAGTGTCTGTCGTTCCTCGTGAATGCAAATGTCAGTTGATGAGATGTTGGATAATCCCCTACCAACCTGTTTTTTTGTCACTGTTTCTGATCTTCAGTGCATGAACTCATCAGTTTTGGGGATCCGATTTCCAATTACATCACCACAAAGAACAGCAATCAGACCAAAACACACACAGATACATTATTGTGAGGAATAGGCTGCAATTGCAAATACAACCAGGAACTAGGAATAGTGATCTAATTGCTGACCCCACTCAATGCTAAACTGGCTTCAGCTTCTCATTAGAGTTGAAATGCCTTTTACCATTTCAGGTTTGGATGCAGATGTTGCTTGTCATTCAGATTCTGCTGGAGTGGACAAGCAGCTGTTCTGGTGTACGACTGTGGGGATGTCCATTGGTCCACTAATTGCATTCACTCTTGTCTACTACATGTTTAGCTGAGCAGTTCTGTACAGTTTCATCAAGCTGCTGATGGAGCCTGTGCCTGGCTGATGAATCTTGATATAAAAATTGTATTTATTTTATTGATAGCCATTTTATAGTGCTCATCACTGTAGTGTCTGAGCTCCTGGCTTCTTGTTTCCACTTGCTCTATATTATGGTGCATTACAGAAGCACTTTTCAATTTGAAGTGCAGCTGTACTCTGAAAAGTGTCAGAAATAAAACAGCACTCTGGGGCTTCACGTTTATTGTTACTCCATGACTTAAATGCTAAATGTGCTCAGATGACAAGGGAAAAGGTGTTGCTGATGACTTCTTCCTGGTTGCTCATGAAACTATACTATTTATTGATGTGTGTCAAATATGACATCCTCTGGAATTGGAAACTCCCTGCCACATAAAGGCACGTTGGCTTCAGACAATACTTTATATAATAATAGTTGGAAAACATCTCTGTTGCTCAAAAGATACAATCAGACTACTATATACTCTGGCCTCTCCTTTTATTTTTTGATCAAGTGGAGGTAGGTAAACCACTTAATGCTAATATGAAAATCTCTTATAATTTTGTCCAGGTCTGAATAGTACAAAATTACAGCCGTTCAGATGGAAATACTAATGCAGACAACTGAAGTATGTGTGTGCATATATATTGCATGCACACATCTATAAATCATTTGAATTGTCCTTATTTTATCTAATTATATTTTTCACTAAATTTCCTATAATTAAAAAGCTAGAAAACTTTTTTTAAGGAGTTGCAAACTCATTCTGAAGTCTTGGTGCCTAGGTAACACCCTCTCTGGCTCAAGCATCGTCTAAAGATTTCTGAACCTAGAACCTGATTAACAATTCATTAACAATTCTGTTGATTGTGCATGAGCCAGAATAGAATCCAGCTTGCTGACTCGCTCTCAGCTGTGTAGATATTCTACTATTCACAGGAGTAAAAAGTAGAAGAAATGTATGTATGCCACTAAAGCAAGCAGATGACACTCAATGAAAACAGATTTGTGAGTAAGAAGTTGTCATTTTTTTAGTGACTTCTCAGAAGATAAGCACACTTTATAGTTTAGTTTCTTTATCCACATTAAATTACATCAGAATTGCTGATACATGCCTTATCCATTGCAAAAAGCCTTTCTTACCATATGAACTTTCAGGATACTTCATAGAGCAAAATAAATGTGGCTTTCTTTCAATGAACAACGTGAAGTGTTAAGTCTGGCAGTTGTTTCCTTAACACAACATTTTCTTTAATCCAGGAGTGAAGAAGTAATCTAATAATAATGTATACATTCAATAAATACATTTTTGAATTTATATTCTGTGACTATAACCCATACTTGTGGAAACCATGACATTGCCAGAGATATAGCTGATAAAAGCAGGTTTCCACTTTTTAAAGAAGTCCCGGTGTTATATCTTCTAATAGTACTACATATTCTTGGGGAATCCGGAACTGGGCTTGGCAGGATTCAATTTCCTGGTACACTGAAATCGACAAGAAAAAATATATAATTGGTAAGAGCGCAGCCTCTCCCTACCCCCACCTGCACCTGCCGGAATCAGGTACCACCAGCCCTGCAGCAACACAGGGAGCCCTCTGCAGTCCTGCTGTCACTGGAGTGAGAGAGAGAGCAGGTCCGTGACAGCAGAGCTGCAGAGAGCTCCCTGTGCTGCCGCAGGGCAGGTGACACCTAATCCTGGCAGGTGTGGGGAAGGCTGTGGTCCTGGCCCAGTGGAGCAGAGATGCCTGGCAAGGGCCACAAGGCAGTCAAGTCCCTGGCCACGGGGGAGGCCACCCCCAGTGCTGAATGGCATCCCACCCAGGGATGTCTTCCACGCTCCTGGATAGTGAATGAAGAAGTGGGTTTGTGACCAGCAGGGTTGGAGAGAGCACCCTGTACTGCTGCTGCAGGGCCGGTGACACCCAATCCCTGCAGGCACAAGGTGTGGGAAAGGCTGCAGTCCTGTCAGGGCAGAGCAGAGACCCCTGGCCAGAGCTGTGAGGAGGAGAACAAGTCCCTGGCTGTGAGGGAGGCCACCATACTTCTGACTGACTCCATCCCTAAGCAGGAGACGTTCAGCTGCGGGTACCCCCTACTCCCTGCTGCAGGGTGCTCATTGTTCTCCTCATAGTCCTAGCTGGGGGTCTCCTCTGCATCCCCACTCTGACAGCCGTGCTCCCTTATCAGCCAGGAGTATGGGAGCCATCCCTGGGCCGAAACTGTTCAGCAGCACCCCATGGATGGAGCTCGTCATTGTCCTCGCAGTCCTGGCTGGGGGTCTCTGTTCTGCGGGGTCAGGAATGCAGCTTCTCCTGCATCTTGTACCCCAGTGTCTTGGGCCCCTCAGCCATGCAGAAGCCCCTCTGTCAGTTCTGGGAGCCCCTTGCAGCCTTGCTTTCAGTGCAGCCTTAACCCCAACCCTACAACACTCCTCAGTTTCCAGCAATTGTAACAATAAAAACAAAAATCAAGATTAATCACTGAAATTAGAAAAACAAAAATTGAATTCTGCCAAGCCAGTGTATAATCCAGAGTAGTAATTAAGCAACTGAATGTCAAAAGTGCTGTGTGCAAATAGAGCATTTAGCTATCAGGAAAAAATAATTGCTTTTAACAAACTAAACAAAAAACTGCAGTACACTCAGCAATTCATCTGGCTGACGAGGAAGTGAAATTGGCTTTAAAAGAGACACTCTTTTGTGGTAGTAAGGGACATGGAGAACCTTAGGGTGATGACAAAAGACCTATATGCCTAATTTTTTTTGATTGGTTTCAATAAGGTATCATTGATAAGTGAACTGCGAAAGCATGGTTTTATGGTTGCAACAGAAGTCAGAACAACTGGAATCTATTTCTGGCTTTGCCACGGACTTACTGTGGAGTAGTGGATAACTCAATTAACTCCTTGTTCTTCACTTTCCCCAAATGTAAAACTGAGATAAAGTTGCCTCACTTGTGCCGAGGATCACTTTACTAATGTTTGTAAAGTTTAGGGATACTTATATGTCAAGCTTGAAATCAATTGGATGTTTTAGGCTCAGTGCTAGCCCTGCCTCATTGGTGTACAATCAGTTCATATCAGTGAAATGTCAGATTTCTTTTTTTAAGTATTTAGGAAGAAAAAAAATCTGTTCCTCCCTGTATTTACAAGGCAAACATGCCTTGTGAACTGATTTGTTGGTTTTAAAGGTAGGAATTACACTGAACTATTTCTTCTATCCAAATAGGCACCTCTTTATTTTATTTTATTTTATTTTATTCATAGATGACTCCTAAGTCTAAAAGGAAAAGCATCCACAGTAGAATGCTCCGGCCTGTATCTAGGGCTTTTGGTAAGTGGATTTCTTTTCTTTTCTTTTTTTTTCCTTCTTTTTTTTTTTTTTTTTTTATAATTTACTAAAACCACTTCCTTACATTCAGAAGGTGAGAAAAGTGTTCCTATATTTGAAAATGCAGAAGACTCTCACTCTGGACTGCAGTTTGTGGTCCCACGAATTTATTTTGTTTTTTGAAGTTTCTATGGTGAGACACTTCAGAAATAAACATTTATTAGGTATAGTCCACCTTTTTCACAAACATGCTACCGCCCTAAAGCAAATGATGTCATTACTTTCTGTTTAAAATACCATATTAAGTCCTCATTAAAGGTTTTGATTGCTCTTAGAAATGGAATTTGACCTGGATAAAGCACTGGAAGAAGTACCTATCCATATAGAAGACCCGCCATTCCTTTCCAGCAGACCGGATAAACGAACTTCTGGATTCATCTCAGAGCTGCCATCCGAGGAAGGGAGAAAACTGGAGCACTTTACAAAATTAAGGCCTAAAAGGAATAAAAAACAACAGCCCAGCCAAGCATCAGTGAGTGACAATTAAGATTGCTGAGGATCTAAGTACTTGGCTGTTTCTTACAATAAAGATTAAATCCCACTTTTGCCAACCCCAAGCACTCAAAAAGCATGTCAGCCCCCCCTTCTCTACCCAATTATCAGAGTGTCTTTAAAATCTTGAGATTTAAAAATATATTTTTTCTTTGCCTCTGTTTTTTTAGCCTTTAGGGTGCACTCAGGTTACCTTTTCAAGCTTTTCTCTGTAACATGAGGGATAAAAATCTTGTTTTGATTTTTAAATGAAAGCTGAGATTCTCACATAATCACATTGCTCCAGGAAAAACACTAAATATCGTGAGACTTGGCGACACTGAAATCCTTCTTTTTCTGCACAAAGCCTGAGTAAACTGGCATGTATTCCTGTCTCCAGCAGCTCTCAGTAGAACCATTCCATAACCTCTGCAGCCACTTGTGACCCCGTACTCGAGACGGGGGTTAAGCCAGTGGATCTGAATAATAACAGATCACGCACTGTGGCATTGACCACACCTAAAAATACAACCTACTTCACTGCTGCCAATAGAGCTCCTCTGGAGCACAGTTAAACACACACATGGGGTCTCTGTGGGTCTTTTTGCTCAGTAAACATCCCCATTTCTGCTTTTTCTCTGGCATGTCTCTCTACAGACAGAATTTGCATCTAAGGCTATACGGCTAGATCCTTGAGGAGGGCAGAGATGGTGTTATACCACTTGTCAGCACCCCTAATCCAAGAGGCAGCCCAGGGGCCAATTTGGCCCCTGCTGCAACTTGGAGCAGCCTCATAGCTGCTCCAAATTATACTACTTGGTAACAGGCTCCTAGAGACCCTTCCACTGGTCTGGGATTTCCAGAGCAGAAATCACTGTGACCAAATACTCCCTATGCTGGGAAGGGCCAAGAGTGGATAGTGTAGAATTTTATGCCACTCAGGAGTTCCCCTGTGCCAAAAGAAACCACAGCCAGCTGTTTGGGTCTTTTTTAAGCCAACTTGCCATCTCTTTTGCATTGACAGAGCAGTGCAGAGGGGACAGAAATTTAGCTGGCCCTTCAACTGTAGTACACTACAGCCTTGTTTTTCCAAATCTGTCATACTAAACTGAGTCATATTCTCCCACTTGCTAAACTTCCGCCAGTCGTCTCAACTTATTTAATGTGTCCTGTGACATCTGGGTAATTGAGTTCATCTGGTACTGAGAATATACCTGCTGTTATGGAAAACTAAGCGTAGACACTATTTCCAGGCAGAGTCAAGTTCCATTATCTTCTGCTTCCATACAGTCATATATTTTCAGAATTGGAGGACCCTGCTGTCTAGTTGGGGGAGGGGGGGAGGGGAAAGGGGAGAAGGATGAGGTTTTTTAGTGCAGTGTTACCTGGCATGGAAATGTGAAACGCAGCATAGATAGTATCTTGTATTTGAAAAGCTTTGATCACTGTGTATGAAGAACAAGAAAGTGTTATTCCTTATGTCAATACAGTATTTCTGAGAACATTGACCACATTTGGATGACCAGGCATTTGTTTTTTCTTACTTGCACAAACCCGGCAAAAGAGGAGGGGATACTTTGTTGCCATTATTTATTATTTTACGCTGTATATTAGAGGGTGGGGACGGACACATCACACCTTTCAGGTGTTCTTAGAGAAAAGTGTGGTTTTCTGTTTCCTGCTTGTTTACCCAAGTTATATTAGGAGTGACAGGTCTGCGTTTCCCTGTTTTTACTAGAAGAATCTGAAGCCTCGTATGTGTAAGCAGTCCCTCCCCCTTACCTGAAAGGGGGTGAGTGCTAAATTTTTAACAAAAACGTCTTTTCTCCCAAGTTTTTCTGAGGCATTGTAGTTATAGGTGTTAACAAAGAACAAGCCAACAAGTCTAAGACCACTTTCTCTGCTGAACATATTTTACATATTGGATGCAATTTTCTCAGCATTAGATGAGTAAAGTATAAAATATGCAGAAATCAATGTATTATTGCAGTATTGAACAATAACTGGCATTACAGTATGCATCTGTAAAATCGTTCTGTGCCTTGGTTATTTTGATGGTGATTAGGCCCTGTGGTTTGTATATTGTTAGTGATCCAATCAGTGTATTCAGTGGAATTTTAGTTGTTGGGGCATGCCTTCAGACACGACAGATGGACATGCATTAGGGTATCCTATGTCTTCAGACACGACCAACGGACACACAGGGATACATGGAGACTGGAGTTTTCAGTTACAGTTGTCTGTTTATTGTGTAGCAGAAGCTCAACTACACCCTGCAGAAGCATAGCTGTACCACACTCATTCCCTCCCCCACATCCTGAGAAGTGAGCATCGAAATCCTTTTGCGTTTCCCCTTTATTGTAATCATCAGCCCTTCCCCTCCCTAGGTGGGCAGTTCTGGTCTTGGTCAGGGCCCAATAATTGCCCTCTAATTTCCCTGCTAAATCCTCTGCCTCTGTTTATGTTTACCTCTGCCATGACTTTTGTTGCCATATAACGAGCTGTTTTGAGCACTTCACTGTCTTTGTCAGTGCACACCTGCAGGCTTGTGGTTTGGGGGGTTTTCGTGTGTGTCTTCTGCTGGCAGTTTACCAGACAGACTCAATGTCAGATAGAGCCAGCCCCCCACATTAATTACCTCTTTTTCAGAATGTTACATCCCTGCCTCCTTCAGGAAACGCTCTTGGCTTTGATACTTAAATATTTGTTCTTATTCTCTGGAGAGTTTCAGTGCCAACATTAAATGGATTCTGACTTCTCTTGAAGTCAATATCAAGATTTTTTTGACTGATGAGTTAATATTTACATCCAGAGACAATAAAAATTGATGTTGTCCAAAAACAGATGTCAGTATATGTATTGTTACATACATTCTGACATTTCCAATTAGACAAATTCTTCTCAGAAAAAGAACAGTCATCATTGTGCTACTTTGAAAAAGATGTTTCCCTTATTAAAAAAGAACACATTCTGTTTTAAGTGGAAACAATGCAGTTTTACCAAAAGGACTTATATTTTCAAATGAGGAATACAGTACCACAGCAGAGGTATATAAGTGCTCTAGTTACTGTCTTTGTAATCTAATAAGATTAACAATAAGCTCATCACATGACTCAGGAACCAGAAAGTTTCATGTATGTATCAATACATTAGTTCATATTCAAGCTGCTGTCTTATTTGTCTTAATAAGGAAGGGTTTGATATTAACAGTAATTGTTCTCTCATACATGTAAGATGAGAATCTGTCCTGGCCCCTTAGAAACACAGAACCTGGATCTCAGGTGCAGAGGGACTAAGATGGCTTTGTGCCACCTTTTATGTTTTCCAGATTTTGGGGCTGGAGCATTCCCTGATGTAATTTAGACCTCCTAGGGAGACCATCTAAGTTAAGGCAACTTCCTGGCACTGCCCTGTGGGTGGTGGCACTGCCAAGAACAAACCCTATACTGGGGTTGTTGCAGGATCCTCTTTAGAGCCATCTAAAGAGGCTTTATGCAGTGTTTAAATTGGGGGTATCCTCCCCCTCCTGCATAAGGAACTTTGGCAGCAGAAAGGGATTACGGAAGAGCAGCATACAGGGGCCAGGCCAGGGAGAGAATCCCTCCCATAATATTTAGTGTGTTTCATCTTCAGAGAGCTGTACAAACACTAACTGATCTGTACAATACTCCAGTGACAGAGTCACCCAAGTTGGATAATCTCTCCCTTTTGGCTTTGGCTTTAAGATCTACTTTTCAAAGGCACAAAGAGGAGTTAGACCTCAGCTCTCAATGAAAGTCAGTGCTGGGTGCCTAAAGTTAGTCACCTAAATCTGGTACTCAGTTTGGAAGTTTTGGTCTAAAGTGCCTTGCCTAAGGCCACAGAGGCAGTGTGTTAGTGGCATAATTAGTACACTGGAGTTCTGGCTCCTAATTTTGTGTTCAGACCACTAGAATTCACACCTCTCTCTAAACCAGGTGAACAACAGCTGACAAAGATTCTGTCTCTACCAGTATCTACAGTAAATACACAAATCAGGAGTGCCATTTGGAAAAACTGCTAACAAAAAAGTGTGCTTGAATACTAAATAACTGCTCTTTTTACACAATTTAAAGGCATTTGAGCTTTGGCCTTGTTGGAATTATTAATATGTGAAATTATTAATATTAATATGGGAAACCACCAGACACTAATTTAACCATAAATGTCTTTATTAAATCCAAAGGCCAAATGATGACTGTACAATTGCTCTATAAACATGCCTAAAAAGCAACTTACTACATCCAAACGCTAACAAAACATGTATACGTTTTTGATCAAGATACTTACAAATGAGCTAAACCCAGGGTGCTTAGATCCACATTGGTTGGCTCCAACATGATCAGGCAGGTATTAGCAATGAACCCTATAAGAGTTTTACCTTTTCATACCCTTGAACAAACAAGTGATGACATTGCCAATGACTGACTGGAGCTAAAAAACAGTTGGAGACAGTTCACCCTTATTTCCAGTCTTAATCCAGGGAAGATTTACAACCTCCTTTCTTCCCCTCCTTCTTGCTGTCTGTTTTTTCCATTGCACTTGAGTTCACAAAGGTTTTAACTCTGGTGTATGGGTTGGGAAGGGCCAGGTTGGCTCATTCTAAGACTGGTTCTTTTAAGCCCATCTGCAATCACCTGTATTGGTCAGAGGCCTTCTTTTTAGAAACTTGCCCTTATCTCATTAGTTAATCTTTTGAACCAGACATTCTCACTTCTTCATTCCTTATGGCCTTATAATTTATTATTTTCAAGGCCTTCCTTCTCCTTGTTAGTCGGGGCCTTTCTTTACAATTTATATATTTCCTTAACCACTGTTAAGATAACTCTCTATTCTTTAATTTCATATTTATCCTCGTGCCTTACAGCATCTTTGAAAAGTGAGATTTCTTACTGCCATGCTGTGTTGCTTATGTTACGTTTGTTTTATCAGGTGTGTGGGTCAACACCTCAGGAAGGAGAACAGAATGGCCTCATGGGTAGAGTGGATGAAGGTGTTGATGAATTTTTCACCAAGAAAGTGACAAAAATGGATTCAAAGTAAGTTCAAATCCTCTAATGAGTCAAGGTAAAGACCATGTTTTCTTACTGATAGTTTCTGAGGGTAGAATATTTATAGTTAATACATTGTATTTGACTTCTTTTTCTAATATTCAGGTCTCCAATTTGTATAGCTACTGTCAAAACCAGACTATATCATAATAGCCCAGTATATCAGTGAATTTGATTACTCATTTTAAAAAGCTTACTTTGAAATAAATTGCTTTTAATATACACTATGAACCAGATTATCATCTGATGTATGTTAACATAGCTCCACTGACTTCTTCATACCCTTAAATGACATCACTCATTACATCACTTATTATGACATCACTGGAGCTATACCAATTCACACTGGCTCAGGGTCTGGCCCTGAATTTTTATTGTGTGTTTAGTCAAGACTGTTATCCTCCATAAATGACATGGGGAAGTGATTTATGTTTATTGATACATATAAATTAAACACTTGCTTTACAAAATTGCAATGTTCTGTGTTTGTGTATGACTCAATCCGAAAGGTTTGCCTTCTACATCTTACGTCGCAAGAAATCCAGCCTACAAGGGTGTAAACTAGATGGATATTTTATAGAGCCAACAGTAAGACGTTCTGATTTTTTTAGTGTGAATGTACAAACAAAAGCTAGTTCGAGACTACCTAAAATGACCTATTTGCTATATTTGACATTAAGTAAATAAAAGTAAAATGTTTAAGTAAATAGTAAGTGTAAATTGGTAAATGGCTGGAGGAGAGAGGGAAAGGAAGTGTTAAATATAAGAAATGACAAGCAGATGGCAGTAATTCACGATTGCAAATATGAAACCATACATGACATCCAGTAAGTAGCTGTGAAATCATGTTAGCTAAAAAAAGAAATGTTTTGAAAAACTGTTATCCGCAGTATTTATGGGATTTTTATACAAATTATGTATACCTTTCAACTTTTCTTGTATTACCAGTGATTTCGTTTTATGGAGGGCAGCAACATATCAGTATTTTACAGTTTTTCAGGGCAAGCATATGTTTCCACCTGAAGTACCATTCTCCCAGAAAAGCTGTGAATTGGGTAGGTTTGGGAGCATGGCTGATCAGAATTGCATTGGTTGTTGATGCAGAGTTCTGGAGTTCTAAAAGGGGCAGCTCCCCAAAGCTGTGTTTTGTCCAGTACCTGGGTCATGATGCAGTAACTACAAGCTATTTGTTGGGGTGAGGATATCCTTAAAAGAGCAGACACATTGAAATTATGCTTGGAGGAATGACTGAATTAGAGCCACTCTGGTGCGACTTGCAGTTTAGGGGTAGGAGTAGTCAGGCCAGAGATATCCTTAAAAATAAATGAATGAAATATGTGTCCTAAGTGGCTGACCTGCCTCTGTGGCACAATGAGTAATGCTAGCCCTACAGTTCTTAGTGACTTTAATGGAGTTTGGCCAATAGCATCAATCATAGTAACTAATCTCTAATTTATAAGCAGTGGATAATAACTGGGCACAGAGCAACTTCCTGATGATGCAAACGGTTAGCTTTGCCCAAGAGAAATCTTTGAAACTATTAAAAACAGGTATTTTTCCAGGAAAAAAACAAAGAACATATGAACATTTGTCTGTGTGTCTGTTTTATTAGGCGATCGTCAATGAAACGTTCAGACACCAATGAGTCCAGTGAAGTGGGTGATGAAAGGAAAAAAAGAGATTCTCGGAAAAGTGGGTTTCTCAACTTAATCAAATCTCGATCCAAATCTGAACGTCCTCAGACTGTATTGGTGGCAGAAGAGCCCTCGTCACCCAAGGGTGCTGTCAAAAGTCCCGCTGTGGACACTACTAAGAAGGAGCTAAAATCAGCTGAACAGAACGGCAGCACAGAGCGAGCCGAGGAACTAAAAACACCAGACTCTCTAGAGGAGATTCAACCAGAGGATGCTGCAAAAGCGGAGAGGGGTGACAACAAAGGCAGCCCACAGGGAGGGCGTAGGTATGGGGTGCAAGTGATGGGCAGTGGACTCCTAGCAGAAATGAAAGCCAAGCAGGAAAGGAGAGCAGCTTCTTCACAGAAGGTGAGGGTGACTTATTTTTGATTTGTGGTGACTCTAATTGAATTGATGAAAAGTAGGAAAGAACTATGCCCCATAAAGGCACAGAAGGGTAAGAGGTTAACATTTAACATATCAGCTATGTTATATTAGAAAGACAATGTGGGTGAGATGATAACTTTTATTGGACCAATTTCTGTTGGTGAGAAAGTAAGCTTTTGCGCTTACACAGAGCTCTTCTTCAGGTGTCATACGTTATATGTGATGGGTGACTCACTGGCACGTAAATGAAATCTGTATCATAGAATGAAAGCTGGGAAAGATCAGTTAGTCCCTATCCCCTGCCTATGCAGGATTGTTTCCTACAGTCAGGGGTGAGTTTACGAGTTAGCCAGGTTGGTAGATGGGTGGGCCCCCTCTGTTTAGGGGGGATGGGTCTGTTAAGGAATGGTTCTTCCACCATTTGCACTGTACTATAAATGAATTACTTTGTGCAGGGGAATAATTCTCCCTTTCAGACAATATTTGCTGACATTCGGTTTCAATTTTCTTTTGTTTAATTGCATCCCTTTACTCCTATTACAAACTCTTTTGTACCACATCTAATCATTCCTATTCTATCTTTATGCCTTTAAAATACAAATAATCATAGAAACGAGAGATGGAAACTATCTATTTGGTCACAATGTGGATTTCAGCTCTATTTTTTAGTGAGCAAATAGCACAGTATATTGAATTGAACAAAGAACCCTGCTCTCAGTACTGTTCAGGGAGCAGTGTCTTTGTATAGCTTAACATGTAACCTTCCTATAAGTATGTCCCATATAAACCTAGTTTTGTCACTGAGCGCAATAGTTTTAAAACTGCTTTTCTTCTTAGGATTTAAACTATAATGCATTGAACACTCTTCTTAGCCTGTCAGATGAGGCCATTCTGCATTAATCTATAGGCATTCCTGTAGCACTAATAGCCAAGGGCTGTTAAAGGGACACTCAAGTTAAAAATCGTATATTTTTTTACAAAAGAAATTTCCTTTCCCATCTAGGGCCAGATCCTGGCATCCTGACTCATATTGAGTAGTACAGTAAACCCTTATATAACACAGTAGTTATGTCCCTAGAAAATCGTGTGTAATATAAAGAACGTTATATGAACTGAAGAATGAATGGGAACAATAGGGTTAAGTTCCCAGACATCACAAAGTTGTACATGTTGGAGGGTGCTCAGGGCAGAGGGTTGGGGCGTGGGAGGAGGCTCGGGGTGCCGGATCCGGGGGGCACTCACCTTGGGCGCCTCCCCACAAGCAGCTTCCCGTGCCTGCTGTTCCTGGCAGATGCACAGCTAGGAGGCTCCGTGTGCTGCCCCCGTCCCTCCCCAAGCGCTGACTGTGGGGGAATCACCTGGCCACGCCTCCACCTCTGCCAGGAACAGCAGGCACGGGGAGCCAACTGAGGTGAGCGCCCTCTGGATCCGGCACCCCGAGCACCCTCCTGTGCCCAAACTCCCTCCCGTGAACGCGCACACTATATAAGAATAGTGCGCGCAACATAAAAATGGGTCACTAAAGGAAAACTGCATTATGTCAAAAATGTCTGTATAAATGTTCTTTATATAAGGGTTTACTGTACTGTGACTAGTTCCATTGATTTCTGAGGGACTGTTTGAGGAGTAAGGTACTATAGAATGTGAGTCAGAGTATCACATTCTGGCCCTTAACCTTTCATAACCCACGGTGCTATTAGTTAATTGTTCAATTCAGCAGTGTGCTTGGTGCTGTTGAAAACAGAATCTTTGCTTCAGTGGTTTTATAATCTAAAGATTATAGTCATGGAATACCAGCATGTTGTAATTTTTTGAAAAATTGTTAGGTAACAGCACTTCTCATGTCAGTGGGTTAACACAGGTAGCATTGGTTGAAAAATTGAACAAAGAGTAGGTCATCACCTTTTGTACTAACATTTTTATTTACTTTCAACTATGCTGCTTCTTTACTCTTTTTGTATTTCTCTCAGCTTGGAAAAGAAAATAGACTACTCAGTTTGTTTGTAATTATTTTCTAGTTTCCATTCACTTGCCCAATGGTGTAAATACTGCAGAGAGACGTTGGGGACTAGGAGGGAATATTTACATTGGAATTTTCAAAAAAAAAAAAATGCTGAAACTTTTGTATTGGTTTTAGATTTTTGTAAGAGCTAGGGTTTTACCACCTTTACATTTTGTATGTCTACACTGCAAATAAAAACCTGTGACTAGCCTGTGCCAGCTCACTAGGACTTCCAGGGGTTGGGCTACAGGGCTGTCTCTTTGCAGTGTAAACTTCCTTGAGCTCTGGGACCCTCCCACCTAGAGCCCAGGCACCAGCCCATGAACTTGAAGTCCACACTGCAATTTAAACAGCCCCTTAGCCCGAGTCCTATAAGCCGGAGTCAGCTGGCATAGGATGGGCACAGGTGTCTAATTGCAGTGTGGACATAACCCGTAGGGCCATTTTTGACCTGGCAATGTTTTTTTTTAAAGTGGTGGTCAGAAAGCTGAATTAAAATAGGATTTCTGTACAAAAAAAGAAATTCAGTTATCTTTGTTTAAGATTAATAAGTCTTTGTACTGTGTTGCACAAAAAAGGAACGGTTAATGCTCAGAAGGTTAAAATGTTCATGTATATTATGCAGGGTTGAAATATGTAATAGCTTTGTTTTCATTTTGACCAAAAGTTGAATACTCGGAGTAATCCAGGAGATCTCTACTAGTTTTGTTATGGGAGAATCCATCTTTCATTTTTATTCATAACTTAAATGATGGATCACCAGTTCCCTTAAAGTTTTCAGATATATCAGGATTCTGATGTTAGTGAATTAATTTTTTCTTAAAGATACAGATGGTTTTTTAAATTCAGATCTATCCAAAGTGTAAACAAAGCCATAAGGAATTTACTACTTCATTCATGACCTTCTACAGTCTTATTACAGTTACAAATGATGAGCAGGTGCACAGTAGATGAAAAGATGGCAAAAGCTTTTTTGTTTTCTTTTGCTGTGAATTTGATGTGTGAATTGGCACTAATGTCACAAGATAAATGAGTTGAAATCAGTGTTTTTTCCAGGTTTTCTCCAGATATAAAGATCATCTAGCTCCATCTAGTGTTTGCAGAACTGAATATTTAAATATCTTTTAGCAAGATATGCAGGCAACCAAGCTCTTTAACAGCCCTGTTTATTTATCAAGGCTTTTATTAGAATTCTTGCACTCTCAGGTGCAAGTGCTACATTTTCCTGTCTTGCCCTCCTTTTTTATGGAGCCAAATAAATATTTGTGTGTGTAGTGCAGTAAATATTTTACATATGACATATTCATGTAATTAGTCATGGACAGACCTAGATTGCAGCAAGACTAGCATAGCTCTGGTGCAAATGATGCTTCGTATATTTGTCGGCCCCTCCTAGTAAGCACCAGACAGATGCTGCTGATTTGGTTAACTTAATGTACCCTCTCTATACACATGCACATGATACATCATTTGAAAGATTATTATGTCTACTTTAATCTGAGCTATAATGTGGACCTGTCAAATGGTTCTGTTACCATAGAAACGGTGATAAACAATGAGACCACCAACACATTAAAATGACCACTTGGAAATATTTGTATTTGTTTCAGTTAGGTTAATAAATCTATATATTATTTCAAGACATAAAAGTGGATTTCTTTGTGAACTCCAAACATCAATCTAAAGGGTAAAACAAAATCTAATAATACATTTACACAGCTATGCACAATTTTTTTTTACCTCATCAATACTTGCAAAGGAAAATGAATATTTTTGTAAGTATGAATGAAAATTCACAATCCATGGTGAAAAAGCAAATTATATTCTTGAAAGCAAAGTGACTTTGCCTACATTAAGAAAATTAATTTTCCCCACAAATTTGGTGAGTTTTTTTCCCTTTTAAAAAGAGAGAGAGACAGACACCCTTAGGGCTCATTGACAGAAGAAGAATGTGGCTTGGGGGAGAATTTAGTCAAAATAGACCATGGATCAAGAGAACTAGGAGTGGAAAATGAACCTGGATCTCTTATACAGTGCTACAAAGCACAACACTTCTACATCAGTGGGCTGGCTTTCACTTTTTTTTGAATGACCTTTTAGCTTATATGGGACTTGTGCACTTGGAACCAGTCCATGGTTAGGCCTGCTCTACGCACAATTTTTTAACTGATTTAACTATTTCAGCCAGGGAGTGAATTTATACTGATATAGTTGCAGTGTAAAACCCCCTATTGTGGATGCAGTTGTACTGATATATCGTATCCTCACTAAGGGATTGTGCTGCTTTAACTAGATCCGTTTCTAAACCAAAAACTGTGTGTTGGCAAGCCCTCTGTGGAAATGTGGGGAAATGTAATGACCATGCCAGTTCTTAAATAGGTGGAGTAAATGTTGAATAATTCTATTCCTTTGTATACAATATATGAGAGACACTTCCTCATTAAAATGTTTTGGGAGCCATTAGACTCAAGCATCAGCAAAATTGAAGTACCAATTAATCCATGAAGCCCACTGTACTGTCTTTTATAGCTCTCATAAGCAGCCAAGTCTATCATGATACCTATGGTAAGTTGCACCTGACAATGGCAAGACAGGGTGGCCTTCAGGGATAACTGATATTAATAGTTTTTGTTTATTTATTTATTTATACCTAAAATACTGTGTTTTGGTTTGTTTTTTACTTTAAACCCACTAATTTTCATATAGCTAGTATAAGCCTCCTTATCTGTTCTTATCACTGTTACCCTTGTCTTCCTTCCTCCGTTTTCCTCCTATGTCTCTCCTACCTAAATGATGCATCAGGACTTCATTTACATTGTAATTTCTTTGGGACAGTGTTTGTCTTCAGTATGTGTTTGTACAGTGTCTGGTTGGGACCTCTGGACGCTACTGTAAAGACAGAATAATCTCAGTGCCAGTCATACCACATTGGTGTCCTGATGACAATAGGATGTCATGAATGTGGCAGTTTTATAATGCTGAAAATAGTAATAACTATGCAAAGCATTTGTTTGCTTTTCAGAGTTAGAGATCTGTCTTCAAATGGCAAATTTAAACCAAGATCAGAGCTACCTGCAAAATGTATTTTATTTTTTAATTTAAGATTCACACTTTACGCCTAGTCTTCTGCGTACCAGCCTTCCTATTTGGTGCTGGTTTGCAGGTAACTTGTGTGCTCTGTATGGTTCTTCTGGTCTCTTTGCTCTATTCAGATGAGTGAGGAGGGTATTGAAAGGAACAGTATAATCCCAGAGACTGATTTTTGTACCACTGTATAAACAGGATCCTCTCGAAAAGGGATATATGCATATTCCTAGTGCACTTGGCCTCTAGACAATAATATGGGTCAAATAATTTGCAGATTCATCTCTTATAACTTTTTTCCCCTTGAGGCAAAGATATCATGGTTAAGATTTTTAATAATGTGTGCATGAAGTTAGGTTCAGGATCCATACTTTGGCACCTAAATAAGTGATCTGATATTTCAAAAGTTTTGAGCACCCAGCAGCTCTTATGAAGTCTAACTTTTTAAAAACCTCAGTCTGTAAATATTGAAGGAACTGGCACTTATTGGATTCAGCTCAGATTTCCAAGACATTTCCCCCCGTGCACATAGGCTTTCATATTAACTAAACTAAGACCAGTTCAGCAATCTTTGCTTCAAAATTTGGATCTTTAGAAAGGTGTCTCTGTTTCTGCCCAGAGCAGATAAACTCTTTAATTTTATCCAGCGTTTTATTTCATTTAACGCCAATAATACATTTGGTCATCCTGAGTGGAAAAGAACAGTTTCTAACTGGACTGTCCGATTCCAACTCTCATTATTCCTTGGCAGGTTTGTCACTTAATGAGCATGTTGTCATGACTCAGCCAGCTCTATGGCCTTACTGGTAACCAAAATCGCTGTGGTCTCCTTCCCACAGAGGAGATTTCCAAAACTGCAACCAGAAACATAAAAACACATCCAGGCATAATTACTAGAGCTTCTTTCTGCAATTTTTAACTTCTGGATATAAGCTTCTTTGTAATGAACCACTGAGTTTTGTGATTTATAGATAATTTTGAGGGATTCTCTTTCTCTTTTTTAGAGACTCGGGAACGAAGTGGCTCCCAGGGATTCTCACGATACCACAGTGAGCTCTGAACGGCTGGATGGCAGTGGTACAGGTACAGTTGTTTTGAGTTTCCTTGCGTACAGCACTTCCTGTAATGCCAATAAATTGAACACTCTCAGCCTGAAATCACACTTCCAGCTGCATGTTGTGTGGCTACTATTTTATAAGCAACCCGTTAAGATTAGCATAACTGAAAAGTGATTAGAGGAGAGAGACATTTTTCTAGTTCATTTAGTTTCTGCATTTGACAGCACTTCATGTATAGTCAGTTTCAGTGCTGGGTTGATGGCCAGTTGTTTCACTCAGACACTGTTCGGTGTGGGTGGGGCGACAACTCGTGTACACGTTCTTCCCCAGGCCCTTTAAGAGGGTGTTCACTGGTAACCGTGGCAGCAAAGCTGAAACTGAAGATCAGGAGGCAGCAAGTACAATGTGCATGGAGAGAAAAGGATGTTTTCTCCTGTCATAAACCAGGAGTTCATTTTGCAGAGTTTATGGCAGTGGTTCTCATCTTTCCAGACTATTGTTACCCCTTTCAGGAGTCGGAAACCTGAGCCCCGCCACTCAGGTCTCAAGCAGGTCACTTAGCCTCATGGGGCCCCCCATGGCATGAGGCCCTGGGCAGTTGCCCTGCTTGCCACCCCCTAACACCAGCCCTTCACTAGCAACCCCCTTAATCCCATCCTGTGACTCCCCTGGGACTCATGGACCCTAGGTTGGGAAACCCTGATCTAACTGAGTTGACGTACCCCCTGGAAGAATTCTACCTCTGGTTGAGAACCACTGGTTTATAGTGCTCACAAGAAAGTGCTGGATTGATAGCCATGCAAGGGAAGTGCTTAATCCACTGAGCAGATCCATCACAGGCAGCGGCGGTTCAAGGTTCCCCACACTGCTCTGCCACCGTGCCTGAAACATGCCTGGTCACCATGGTAGAGGGGGTTATTTAGTCTCCACACCTGTACAGTTCTTGGACTTTCTGCTGAGACTGTTAAAATGGGTGCCAGCTGGTGCCAGTTTTGATGGTGTTTTAGATGATGTGAAGACTCTGCTAGGAACTGGACTGAAACCAATATTGAAGAAGTCTCTGCGTATGCTAAAGAATCCAGTTTTAATTCTTGGACAGTGATTCTGGGAATTTCAGGTGTATAAAATACAGTGTGGCCAAAGTGTGTGAAAAGAATTCACAAACCATGTTCGAAAAAACATTGGCTGACCAGTCGTGTTGAAAACCGGTTTATGGTTTCCAAACCATTCCTAAATGTGGTGTAGAAGCTGGTGCAGAGAGAGATTGTACGAGAGAGCCCCATGAAACAATGCTTTTAAATCATCCTGGCATCACAGTCTAATATCTTTTGGAGGAGGAACCTTTTTTGCTGTCTGTTCCAGTAAGATAGACAGATCTGAGGTTGGAGGACCATGGAAAATGGGCACACTGAGAGCTAACGGGCGGTTGATCTCCATTTTTCCTTGCTGCTCACTCCTGTAAATGACACATTTCCCCCTCCCCAACCCCAGTGCAGTGTGTGCACAGCAGCCCCTCCTGCCTCTAACTGTCAGTTCTCATTTCACCGCTGTAAGGAACTCCCTCCGGCTGCTCCTGTTGCAGTTCTAGTTTGTCATTGTTTTGCTTAATTTATATCAACTTACTGTGTTCTAATAATATTAACAGGCCTGAGGTTAGAAAGGCAAGTAATGGAGTTAAAGGGAAATTGCTGGATGTTACTGAGAAAACAGAAGACCGTGTATGATTCAGAGACAGAATATTTTCCTCTCTCAGTTCATGTCAGAAACTGCTGTCTGAGTGTTAGCCAGTCTCTCCCTTTCTCACACACACGCATACAAGTGTGGGGATAAAAGTGTGGAAACCCTTCTGCTGTTTTGCTTACAGTGCAAAGATTTATTGCACACACATGCATGCACCGCAATCCTTTTGGTTAGCCCACAACTCAAATCCAGCGGAGCTGAAAAACAACTACGTAAGCTGGAAAAACATTTTGGAGATTGGCCTGCAACTGACTATATCAACATTCTTCCTCCCCACACACTGCACTTAGAATTCCTGTGCTCAGCACTACTGTAACAAGTAGGTTTTCTGAACTGGAATAGCAGTTAGCTAGGCCAAGTCAGCATCTGTGGGCACATGTTTTGCCTTGTCAGAAAGCCAAGGCAGCCTAAATTTAGGTGAAACAAGAATTATGTGCAACCCTAGCATACAAATTGTTAATCACTAAAGGTGAAGAATGCTGTCACCCAGTACGCATACAAATCCAAAGATTGATTGCACAACCATGTGCATATAAGCCTCCTGGAGTCCTCCCACGGTTTGGAGGAAGGAAGGAAATTAAGGCAGGCAGTTTGCTTATTTGCAAACTAGTGTCCTGCAAGCTTTATACCAGCTTGCACAGCTGGCTCTAGCTGTATTCGATTTAAATCCTGGGAAGCAAGTGAGATTTGTGTGCAAATGCATTCAGTCTTTGCTTGGTATAAATAATGTGCTGGCAAGCTTGCTAATAAATGTGTAACAGTGTATTCTATATGCAGAGTTACTAAATAAAGAGTCGCATAAATAGGGCTGCCATTGCTAACAGATTTCAAATCTGATCTAAAAGGGCTAAAAACAAAAAAACAGCAACATGCACATATACTCACCATCAGTTCAGGATTTTTTTCCCTGTGTCCTGGATTCCACTGTTAGTCTTTAGCAGGAAAAAAAACACCTGGCAGCGATTTTCAGCTTTGGCCCTTAGAAGCGCTGTTCTCAATGATGCTGGACAGCCAGAGACTGCCTGTTTTGCTGCTCCTCTTCTGTTGTGCAATGATCCCCTGCTGAAATCCCATCTCTGCATGTCAGTGCAAGAGTGAGTCACGGAAAGAGATGGTAGCCTCAGTCCCCACCCACCCCCCACTGGCCCGTGGCTTTATTCCACCCTTAGGGCAAGAGAGAAGGGGGAAAGAGAGACAGAGACATCCAAGGGAGCAAATGAAAGGGACCACAGGAGCGGGTGAGATACCTGGGGAAAGGCGAAGATTTGATAGCTGCCAGAGAGGAATGGGGGATATCAAAGGGAAGGACTGAAAGAAAACCTTTGGATTAGAAAGTGTGAGAAAATATCCCATCAAAGTGGGGCTGTGGCAACCCACATCACCAGCTCCTGCCGACAATGGAGGGACAGTGGGGCGAGCTAGCCACCTCCCCAGTACCCCAAGAAGGTGGTGACAGCCAGGCCTGTTCATGAGTGAGTTATACAGCCTGACAAACACATTGTTGGCTGCTCATTGAACCACTGCTGAACTCCAGGTCTTGAGAGTTCTCCCATCACTACCTTTCTACTGTGTGTGAATTTCTGCCAACGATAGGCTTTGCCCTGTGGGGATACTGCTACAGCATGCTTTCTGCTTTGTGTAGGACATTTTATTTATTATTGTTGTTGTTGTTGTTACTATTATTATTATTTTAGTGCCTAAACTCCACCAGACCCTCCCAGAGAATCGTTTTGCCTTGAGTAAAGGTGACTCTGTCATGGCGTCCTTGGAAAAAAATCCAAAAACTGAACCAAAGGCTGAAGCTGGTGCAAGGGCTAGATGTTCTTCCAATACGCCCACGAGTCCAAAACCCCCAGTGCAGTCAAAGCCCAGCCCGACGGGACGTCCCACAGTTCCACAGAAGCCACGCTCTGCCTCTCGCAACGGTGAGGAGCTGTTCTGGCTCGTTGATCCCATTGGAAGAAAATGTGTGAACAGGGTTTGTGTGTGAAGTATAAAGGAAATGCTAATAACTAAATCCTGGAGAGAAATTGGACACAAAGAGAGAGATTTTTCTGTCATTTGCTCTTGAATTGCTTTCCCCTCCCCCGCCCCCCTCTAATCCTAACTTCTTTTTTTTTTAATGACCAGAACTGTGATTTGTAATGGTAAATTCTGAGAAGAAATAATAGAAATAATGACAGATTATAGAAAGTCACAGAGCTATTTTATGCTAGATATTATTTTATTATAAAAGTATCCAGAGACCCTACTTGGGGATGGAAGCCCCATTGTGTTAGGCGCTGACTAAACCAATTACCTTTGTATTTTCTCTAAACTCAAAACCCCTGACTCTAAATACAAAAATGTTTAATTTTTTGATCTTTTGTAGGCTTCTCTCAGCCCTTTCAGCAATTAGCCATCACACCATATAATATACATAAACCTCTTCTGTACTTAGATTCTTCATTTTTGTCTTTGGATTGTTTTCCTAAATGTTACGAAGCCGTGTGCCACTATCTCTTTTTCCTTTCTTGCCCTGTATTGACTGGAGGAATTATTATTCTCACTCCAAATCCATTGGTTTGGTCTTTCATAATCATGAAGAGTTGCTCCTTGAGCCACTGATAATGTCTACTCTCTGCTAACCTCTTGTTCAGGTATTATCTCAAGACTATAAATGGAGATAAAGTTTAATGATTCAGCTAGTCTCCTACACGTTTACCTGCCTATCCACTAGCATGCAACTGCCCAAAAAGTTATGGACATTGAGAGTGAAAAGAATTAAACTGTGGAAACTCTGACTCGCCTGGCAGCTATGACAAACACTCTTTTTACTAATGCCTAGAAAGCATGTTTGTAACCACTCCTAATGCCTTTCAAATCTTTAGGCTCTTCCCATGCTCGCATTGGTACCTGCTGGCCCTAGAGAAGAACCATTTGCAGAGGGAAATTGCAGCCTCTTCCTTGCCCTTGATTGCGTACTCTGTCCATTACCTGCCTAGTCCTGTTCCTGCCTCACCAGTGGTTAGGACTTACTTTCTCCCTCTCTCGCAGGTACCAGATCACCATCCAACCTTTCAAAAAGAACAGAAGTACTTGTGGCACCTTGGAGACTAACAAATTTATTTGAGCATAAGCTCTCGTGGGCTACAGCCACAAAAGCTTTTGCTCAAATAAATTTGTTAGTCTCTAAGGTGCCACAAATATTCCTGTTCTTTTTGCGGATACAGACTAACACAGCTGCTACTTTGAATCCAGCCTTTAGGTTGTCTTAATATATTTGTATTGGTTATTTTATAGTCAGTCATAAAGTAAGATATGCCTTCAAGTAAACACCACTAGATGTGTACAACAGGAAGGCATCACTTGTGTAGTCTTCTGCTTAAGTTTAAAGTAGAATTTAAGATATCTGAAAAGGAGGAAGGTCTGAACCTACCTGCAGCTCCAAAGCTGTCTGTTCCTCCTAGCTCATGTTTCCTACAAAAGATGTATGTCCCAGGCTGTGCCCTGAAGGGGAGCAGATATTCCCCATCTTTGCTACCACTGTTTCAGATCCTCTAGTGGTAGCAGAAATGTGAGAGTTAATGTATAGCAGGCTTCAGCAATTCTTGGCATTTTTACCACCCCGTTGTGGTAATGCAATAACCAGAGCCCTGTTTACACTTGTGCTCGACCATCGCTACCACTGGTGAGGCTGGGTCAATTTTTGCCTAGAAATGTTAGTGTAGAGAAGGCCCTGGGATACCTACAGCCCACGAGCTTTGTCAGTTCAAATGTTAAGTAGCATTTGGAGGATTATCTCATTCCTTAGTCTAGACCAAAATTGCAGTTTCCTTTGTGATGGCCACTCATTGGTAAGACAAAACCCCATTCTTTTCCAATACTTGTTTCAATGAACTCATGTTCTAAACATACACATGATATCAGTCAATGTTTCCTAAGAACTTACTTCTCCCACCTCCACCAATGCACCATTTCCTTCATTGGGTGTTTTTCATAAGCATACTGACTCTAAACAGTGCCGTTATATAGTACTTCACTACCAAACAAATGAAAGGTACCTAGTTCATGACAGACATTGTATCTGTATGGGGTCTACATACAAAACATCACTGTTGTGTTTATATGGCATGTATAATGCACATCAGACCACTGAGAGAGTGTCTGTCAGTTATCCAATTGCTTAAAATAATTAAAAATACCTGGAGATTTCTTCAAAGTTCAAAACAGAAATGATTTTTTTTTAAAAGAGGTGTATTGAAGAAGCTATAGTATTCCCTTCAGAACTATAGAATTCTGTAGACTACTTATGAAAGTTGTTTGCTTTTATTTTTGTAATTTAAACTTCATTAGTTTGTCACATTGTCAAGATGATTAAAAATATCAGTGTGACAAAACAATTTTGAAAGAAATTTCTGAATAATTTTCTTTAACTTTTCTTTATTAATTGCATAATTCTCTTCTAGCCCTACAATAAAATTAGGTTGGTCTTTTCAGATTTTTATTTGTGCTTCAATAATAAATCAACACATTAGGAGTTGAAATTCAGGTCTACAAGATAATCAACAGCTGTAGCAAAACAATTAACTACAGTATATTAGTGGATAGTTTCACTAATTTATACCTCCTGATTAAACTTGCTAGCTAGTAAAATTCTTCCAGAAGGGTTGAGTACCATCAAGGATTCTCTCTTATCCTTGTAAGATGGTCCCTTCTGGCCTTAGAATCTATGAGTCTTAGACTTCCTAAACATTTTTTCCTGTTTGCCCCAAATTCTAGCATAGCTAAAACACTGAATATATCCTGCATGTTAGTTGTGTATTGTTTTTTTAAATCGTTCATTAGAATTGTCTGCTATGGGGATGGTATTCTTGAAAGCTGTCTAGCAAGAAATATAATGTATCTGCTTGTGTGTGTGGTATTTCCACAGAGGACATCCCAGAGTCTCCTGGTTCCCCTAAAGTTGCTCTGCTTCCACCTGTGCTAAAGAAAGTTCCTTCTGAGAAAGAAAAAGATGGTCAAAGCAGCCCCCAGCCCGCTATCAGATCATTTTCTCAAGACGGTAAGATTGTTGATATAGTCACTTTCCCAATATCCTTTGCCTGGCCTGACTCGGTTAATGAGTACCTCTTCAAAATAAACCAAACATGATTTCCTGGTTTCTTTGCTTTGTACTTTGGGATAGGAAACAGGAAAATGGTGTGTGATAACTCATGGGTCAGTATTTTCCCTCCTGTCTTATTTCATACAGTTTTATCAAAAGAGAAGAAATAAATCCAATGTCAATATTAATATAATATAATGTAGCCATTTCACAGTGAAACCACAGCAATAGAAACAGGAAGTAAGTGACACTGTGTCATCTACATTATATTTTGGTCAGTTAAAATCAGGCTCACAAAAAGGTAAATGTGGCTACCTTGGTGAGCTGGTTGGAGTGGTTAAATTTCTTTCTCTAGTCTGCTTGGTGGCTCTGTCTCCCCTCTGGGATCATTGCACTCTGTTGAGTTCATGTCAAACACATGCTCAGTATGTCAGGGTGCTTGGGCAAGAACTCTGAACATTCCGAGTTTCTAGGGGATTCCGTAAACCACTTTCTTCTCTTTTCCTCACATTTTGGATTCCAGCTGTTGCTGCTGTGCTGTGCTGTGTGTGTCGCACTGAATTGGCTTCCTCTTAGAGGAGCTGGGAGTAGGGAGACAAGGGAGTTACAGGGTATGTCTGCACTGCAATGTAAGCCCGGGGCAGTGTTCGAGAACTGTGTTGGAGAACTGATCCGTGTTAGCGAACCCTGGGCTTGAGTACATTATATTTTAACCCTATATTAAGCCTTTTCTAACCTGTGCTCGAACTTAGGGCTTTGGTGTCCACACTGCAGTGCGCGGATCTGAGTCAAAGTAACCATATCCCAGAGTCCCTAACATTCCCCATCACATCCCTGAAATGTGGCTGCTCTAGCCCATGGTGCACTGTGGGAAAACTTTACTGCCAGTCCTGCACATTCACTTTGCAAAAGGCTTGGTTGGTTTGCTCTCCGTTCCAAGCCCAGAAGGCTCTCTGATAGTGTTCTTGCAGATCGGTGATCAGAAGAGAATGGGTTAACATTGACCTGAGCTGCTGCTGTTCGCAAAAGGGGGTTGGCTGCCATTTTCAGCAGAGTAGATTGCATGTTGTTGAGACAGGACTAAGGAAGTTTTCCCAGGGAATTGTGTGATACTTCTGGTTGACTTCCAGGAGTCTAATCAAGAGGGGCTGTGTCTACACTGCAAAGTGATAGGGTCAGACCCTCGGTCCTGGCTTAATTTGAGCTTGGACTCTTCAGCCCTGCAGGTTACTGGGACCCTGGATCTGAGACCCGAGTTAGTGCAGTTGCAGTGTAGATGCAAGGGCTGTTGGGTTTGAGCTGCACTCAAGCACAGGCTTACGTCTCAGTGTAGACATATCCATAGAAATCCAGCTCAGCACAGTAAATTGCATGCAACTCTCATTATCTTTGTGGAGATCACCAGCTAATACAAACCAGGGTCTTTGAAACAGTGCAGAAGTCATACCTTTAAATCAGATAAAAGGGCCAGAGCAGTGTAAAAGGGCTCAAGAGTTCCAGCTAAGAGAGAATTCCTCTGGCACAGGCACTGCAGAAGACAGCCAGGCTGTCTTCCAAGGACCCCCTTACGAATCCTGGCATAGAGGTTGTGCCGGAGGGGGCATGGCAGTACTATGGAGATTGTGAACAATGCCCATAGCTTAGGCCCCCAGGGCTGTCTGAAATACTCCAGGTGCTGTTTCAACCCCAGAAGCAGCGCAGGATCAAGAGGATATAAAGGTGGCTTAAAATCACTTTTCCACTCCCCGCCATCCCCCTTGGCTGTAAGTTCTGTGTTGTGCCTCCTAGAGGTGCAGCCCAGGCTGTCTGGATGTCCTTGTGTCAGTCATAGCTTGTGGAGGCTCGTGGACTAAACACAATATTGCACTGCTCAGGAAAACAGAATATCACCAGTATAAAGGGTCTCTATCCAGATCTTGACTCACACTTGAGCCCTTATGTGCCACACTGGCAGCCCAAAGGAACCATAAAGCTGTCCCAGTGGGGCAACTGGGGAGTCCCTGAGGTGTGTAAAGCTGGCGTAGCTAGCTTTACATCCCCACCCTGCGCTCCTTCTATGTTGGCGTTATGCTGGGAGCATGGCCAGAGCATGCAACAATCCATGAGCAGTGTAATGGACCCTAGGGAGCTGCTCTAACTGTCTCCAGGGCCAAATCGGCCCCCATCAGCTCTGGGAATTGGGAGATTGCAAAGGTAGCATAGTGAAAACTTCCTTCCTACCCCCATACTCCATGGGTCTTGCACTGAGACCAGCTTCGCTGGACCCAAGGATTGGGACCTGGAAATGCTTATCATGGTCCCTGCCTCACACTGGAAAGTAGAGATAGTCTCTGCGTTACTTCCTGATAAAACAGAGGCTTTAGCTTACAAATTGATGAGAAAGTGGCCAGAAAATGTAACCCTAGCTTGTTACCACATATATGTAGCAATAACATCGGGTAAGAAGATGTGGGACAGCTCCCAGTTCATGTGAAGTCTGAATACCCTGCTCCTTTGCCAACCCCACTCAGCAAAGAGGGCATGTTAGAGAAGTGAAGAGAAGCGATTGTGTCTGGAGTGCTCCTGCACTCCAGAAGTGCCTGGCTATCTACATCAGCAGGCAATTGTAAGGTACTGCTTCTCTCAACCCAGCGGGATCTGAGTTGACCATTTTGATAGTGCTGGAATATGCATATGGGTCCTGATGGAGTCAATGAGACTCTTTCCCTTAACTTCTGTGGGCTTTGGATATGGAGAAAGAGAAGTTAACATTGAGAGATACAGTGGTGCCCCTTAAAATCTCACCAGTTCTGCTTCAGATAAATAGATACAGTTACCCCCGTATTTACTTAATCCTGTATAGTGAAGACCTAGAGGATTACAACTATTAAATAAAGTTTAGTTATCTAAGGCAGTTGTCAAGTTTTTGAATTACTGTATGTTTGTGTATGTCAATAAGTAGGGTTATTTAAAATAGTCCACAAATTCTTGTTCTTAAAGGGAGTCAGCCATGCTGATGATTTCGCCACTCCTTGCTGTCTTATATGTTGACTCCACAAGAGACATGATCTAATAGACGGTTTTTATTGCAACTATGGAAGACTGAGAACATTGTTCACAAATAATTTGTGATTGCAAAAATAGGATTTCCCGGTCCTTAAGTCTGTGATTTATCTCTCACACAAAATAGACCATTTATCAGTTATTTAAATTAGAATTGCCTGGGGAACATAGAAAATTATGTTTCTGTTTGGTTTTTTATCCAGTTATCTTTTTCATTTATTACTACGGTACTTGTTCATGTCAGTTACTCCTGTTTCTTTATTCTGTGCCTCTTTTCAGACTAGCATGCTTAACTAATTCCTTAAACTGGTAAATCGCTGCAAATCTGCCCAAATTGTTGCTTGGTAAACATGATTATATCCATTGAGAAGGCAGGTGGAAATTACTTAGATTATAAAATCCTCTTGTATTCATTAACATAACTACACTATTTGGGGTAATCACAAAATACACCTCTTTTTACATTGCATTTCCATAGATTAGCTGCTGAATTCTGTAATATCAACAAATGCAGATAACTGTGCCAATTAAGTTAAACATGCATCAGACTCTGTAGACTACTACCTTGGAGTAACATACTACAGAGCATATTACTGATTATATGGAGTGGATAAGATAAAATTGTCTTTTTATTAACCATTACCTTCCATATGTGGCTTATACATAACGTTTGGGGGATATAAATTAATCCCTTTTCCCTGCTAGAGCAAACAGGAGACTATAACAAAAGAGATACAGATCATGACTCTGACAAGCCAGCCAGTGGAGGGAAAAGAGCTTCAAGGCAGTACTCTACCAGTGCAGAAGAGGAGGTGAATGCACTTGGGCACAGGAAGTCACAGCCAACAACTGGTTAGAACCTTCCATTCTCATTTTTCACTGGCACAGTGCTTAACAACTGGCACTAACAAAGGTAAAGATGCATATAGAAAATAACAGCAGGTAAACTGATAGGTGTTTTGGTTTGCCACCAAAAAATGAGAGGGCTAAATCTAATGGGACATCCATCATTTCTGTGCTCCCACTGGAACCTCTTTCTCTAAAGGCAGATGTTATCCAAAGTGTGTGCATTCTCTCTCCACATTGACAAGCACTGAAAGCTATCACAATGCACATTGAAGCTCTCTGACTGAGAGGATTACACTGCAATTAAAAAACCCACAGCACCAAGCATCTAAGCCTTGCTCAGCTGACTGGGCTTGCAGGGCTCAGGCTGTGGCGTAAATGTAGCAGAGTAGACATTCAAGTTCGGGCTCTGAGTCCCTGCCCCTTGCATGGTCTCAGCCTGAGCTGTAGCCCAAGCCTGAAAGTTTACACTGCTATTTTATACTCCCACAGCCCGAGCCCTGCAATCCCAGGTCAGCTGACCCAGGCTAGCCATGGCTGTGCCCAGTTTAGATGGAATGTTGTTAGTGCCAGTTTTAGCACATCACTCACTGAACCTTTTGAGAGCGTAGTCTGTTTATTTGGATACAGAACCTTACTAGAATTACTGGAGTATTGGTTCTTAAACTGAAAAACAAACTCTGCTCCGTGCTTAAGATTTTACTGAGGAGTAGCTTTAATTTACTGTAAAATTATTGAAATACATGCTTTCAAGCAAGTTATGAAAATAGTTTATTTCTAAAATACCTTATAGTAACTATTGTTCTCAAAATGTTGTGTGCTTCTCATTACCTCTCATAACTGATTAATATAAGTGATTCAAAATGACTTGGTTTAAGAAGGTATTTTGACACTAATGTACAATTTCATTCATCTACATTTTTTAGCTACATCTCGTGTGATCATTTCATACCCTGTCTGTATTTCTTTCACTACTTGTGCTATTTTCTTTCTTTCTTTAAAGAAAATAGACTTTTTTTCTGTCTTACCATGCAAATTGATCTTTTCTCTTGGGAGGAATCAAACTTAATGTACTTGAATTTGAGACTTCCCCTTTAGGTGAGTCATATTTTTTTTGTCCCCATCATAATCAAACTTGCATTCTCCACATTCTTGATATTAGGTCCAGCTTTAAGATGGTTATCTTAGATGGTGAATATCCAAGGCCCAGTCATGCAATGGGATCTGTGCAAGTGTATCCCTGTGTCACTGCAGAGCCACATTGACTTGACTTCAGTGGCACTCTGCAAGGGTGCAGGGATCTGCCTGTACAAATCTGATTGCAGAATCCGGGTTTACATGTCCAGTGCAATATGTCAGCACCATTCTGGATAAATTTCCCAGTCCCATAATGTTATGGCACAGAATAAAATAGCTGCTACGGTAAGCTGAGTTTCAGCCTTTGGCAAAGGTGTGAGTGCACAGTAGGAGAGAGGATATGTCTGGGTAAAACTTTCAACAGTGCCTAAGTCCAATTTTCAAAAGAAACTTAGAAGCATAAGTCTCATTTAAGTTGCTTTTGAAAATGGGACTTAGCCACTGTTATATATCAGTTTAGCATGACATTTGCTACATGAGAGAGCAGGATGTTGCAAGATTTGGCAAATCAAGAGATACTTTTATGTTTGCAGTCTGACAGTTCTTGGAGTCTTAAAAGAAATACAGTAATAAGGGACATAGTGCCCATTTCTTTATAACAGACTTTTTCAGCTACTGAAGTCTGCGCACTAGTGGATTGATCATGAGTCTGGGAGTTGGAGGCTTGGATTTTATAACAACTCTGCCACCGACTCGCTGTGTGACCATGTGCAAGGCACTTAGTCTCTTTTTGCCTCACTTCCCCATCTGCAAACGTGGGATGACTATGTTTGCCCTGTGGATGAAAATTGCTGCATAATTGCTACTTACTTTTATTTCCATATTTTGGATAGCATCGTTTGGAGTGTCACACTGATAGCGGGGCAGGCAAGATGCACTGCATGTGTAAGTGGAATTGTGTGAGATACGTGCAGTTGTCCCTAGTGGTGCAGGGTATTTATTTTTTTTAATTTCCCTCACACTAGAGATCCAGAAATGTGCTATTGGTGGTCTAAATAAAACTTGTACAGTAGCAATAATGTCATTATTTGTTAGCATTTTTATATAACCCTATAGCATGGAACTTTATAGAGAGAATAAGGACATGAGGCCAGCTTCTGTGTTGTGCTGTTACCCCTTTGCACCTTGGTGGCAGTGTAAAGGGGCTGTATGTCTAGCAGAATCAGACCTCAGGGAATACCTCTGCTGGGGTTAGCAGGACAGCTCTGCACCACCTAGTCCCACTGAAGAGGAGCACATTGCACTGTAGGTGTTATTGGTCAGTGTAGCAAACCAGTGTAGCCGTTTAAAAACTGGCACAATTTAGAGCAGACTTGAGGCTACACCAGGGGTGAACCGGTCCCAGATAACCTCAAAATACGGGGAGGCAAAACATTTCTTAAAAGGCACCTTTGCCCCCTGTACACTCCTGTTCCAAATGAAGCTTGGACAGTGTGGTGAATTAGGCCCAGATTCCATGCCCTAGGTGCCATTCAAACAATAGGAGTACAAATTGTTATGGTCAGTTTGATCATGTGGAAGGTATTCATGGAAAGCTTTGGAGAGAATACAATCTTTGAATGGAGTTGGAATTTACTTGGTCCTGCTAGTGAAGGCAGGGGTCTGGACTAGATGACCTTTCAAGGTCCCTTTCAGTTCTAGGAGATGGGATATCTCCATTAATTTAAAATTTATTTAAATTTATTTATTTAACACTTCTGCATATGTCATCCTGTCTACACTAGGCTTCTTTCTGAAAACTTCTCCACTGCTGCTAATGGCTATACAGCTCCGTCCCCACTAGTAGTGCTGGCAAAACTAGTGTAGGCAGGCAGCTGTTAGCATTTTAAGCACTGCTGGCCAAATCTACTCACAGCAGGTCTGTACAACATGGGAGTGGGAGACTCGAACAGCTACCAGTGCCTTGTCTACACTAGCTCTACTACAGATGGGACTGCACCGGTACAGACAAAGTGGGCAATTTTTCAGATAAGGCTTTAGATGAATAATGTGTGGGAAGACTTCAGGTTATGCTAGATGATGGTGCCTTGGTACATTTCACAGCAAATGTAAGCAACCTAAATGATAAGCAAGATGTACAGATTTGATGATGCTAAGAGTAGAAGCTATTTTAACTAAAATGTTTTGTTTAATAGGGTGGGAGGAGATGACTTGCAACAAAGGGAGTCATCCCCATGGGTCTCCTAAATGTTTAAAATGTCATTTTAAAGTGAAGTGTGGCATTTTCTTCAAGTGCTCAGCATTGCCCCAGTTCCACTCCCCTTAAGGTCAATGGTAAAACTCCCATTCATTTCAACAGCCATTTTAGTTAACGGTCAGATCAGAAATCTTCACTAGCATTAAAAAAGTTCTTTTCAAACCAGTTTCACTGTTTATACATTGTGAGAAATACTTCTGACTCCTTAAGATGTTAGAATGCTGGGCTGAGGTCATTTAGTGCCCATTTAAATAGGTGGTGATTTCACTACCACTTAATTGACAATATGCTGTAGTTCAGCAGTTGTACTTTTCAATCTAATTTTGCTAGATCTAGTATGCTAGTTTTACCACTCTTCCTTCTTCACTCCAACTTTGTCCTTCATATTTTCCATTGGGTATGGTATGATATTTAAACTTCAGTGCTAATGGCCAAATTCTGTTCTCGGATGCATTCATGCTGTTGAATCACTGGAAAGCAAATACAGTCATTCAATGACACAACAGAAGGGCAAATTTATTTATATAGATAGATAATGCAAACTACTGATTTGGGGGTTATTGTGAGTGTCCCTGAGAACTTGTGGGTACATCGTACCAGACACATGTACACCTGGAGAAAGTGCTAATCTTGAAATGACATTGACTTGTTAAGTGTTTCAATTATAAAATTTAGGAAACTTTTATCCAAATCATCATTTTAATTGTATACAGCACAGTGCTTTGTTTTAGATCTCAAACCAAACCTTCCCTGTTTGCAGACTGACACTGGTACAAAGTTCCTTTCCTTTTCTTCCTCCCTCCCCTTTCTAGTTTTAATAACAAAGGGCACACACCAGTCACACTGGAGGGAAATGGTAAAGCTTCTATTGAGTTCACTGGGAGTAGGAGCAGGACCCAAGTGTGCTAATGTTTTTTTTCCCCTTGTGAAATCATTAGTAAGACCTGCTTCCATATTTTATACAGCTCCAAAAAGAAGCCCTGGACACCAGACCCATGAATACCAAGAACTAAAACAGAGGTCCTTAAGTAAAGATGGCCAGCAGGGAAGCAAGTCCAGTGACTCTGGAGAAGAAGCAGATAAAGAATTTATTTTTGTTTAGTTATCAGTACAAATGCTTGGTAGTGCAAGATCCTTCATAACAATCTGGGTACAACAATCAATGACCCTTCTACTTACCAGCCATTGTTTAACCCTGGATGCATTTTCGTGTATACACCTAAATGATCATGATTTACAGTACACTCAGTATGCATTGATTTGGTCTTTAACTTCTGTTATGTATGATTTCAGACCTCCCCTTCCATGCCTTTGCTAAAGCCAGCAATTATATCATGTACTCTACTTGAATTTCTCTGAAGCAGCTATAAAGAACACCCTGCATTAGGGCCTTTAGAAACAAAGCAAATAACTGGACACTGTCTTACACTAATACACTGTACAGCAGGTAATGTGTTGTACTGCTGAATGGAAATGTGTCAAATCTGCACGTGACTTACCTATAAATATATTCTTGCGGTATGAAATTGCACATTGTAATTTATATTAACAGAGCACACTAATCAAATAATTTGTATAAATAATATATATTAGATGCTTGAGTATGGTTTTTAAATTCTCCCCTAGGGACCTTCTTTCTTCCTGTTGTGTTGTACATAAAACTCAAATGCTTACATTTGTGTACTGTCAGAAAGCACAACACAGAAGAATCTGAATGAAATCTTATGCTTCCGCATTCATACATTAATGTATATAGTTGATTGGAATGAGAGCAATTGACATTTTATTAATATTGGTGTTTTCTAGAGGCCTTCTTAAGTTCTGTCTGCATATTAGCTTACTTTTAATGTGTAATTCTAAGAGAAAGATAATTTGATGCCTGTAAAAACAATTCTGCTTGTTTTTGCATATTTCACAGACATTCACTTGCATTACAGGTTGAAGCGATTTTATTCATATGTATATTTGTACCAATAAAAATGATTTTACAACTGAAATATCAGTCTCTGTTTTTAGGTATAAAGCTATTTTATTTATCATATTTCGGTTCATATGTTTGAATGATGTTAGTGTGTCATTATAGACAAGGCTTACAATTTTAAAAAAATGCTTTAAAATGTCCATAGTAACACACATCTTCCTGTTGCGGATGGACATGAAATGCTTCATAGTTTTCTTTATAAAACTGTTTGAGGACACATACATTGATGGCTTTGCTCATGACCTTCAGGTAAATCATCTTTCACACAGGCAAATAGCCTCCAGTTACATCCAGTTTGTGTACTCTGAACTGCATTACAAGCAGAGGGCCTGAATTCTACAAAGAATTAAGCATGTGAGCAACTTTACTCACATGAGTAATTCCACTGACTTCCCTGTGGCTGCTTCAATGAGTAAAGTCACTCACCTGTGTGTTTGTAAGATTGGGCGCATATTTTGTATTTCCAGGGGGCCTGATTCTCCATGGCCCTGGATTAGTATGCAGGTGCTGGGTGATGTTTGTGGCCTGTGGTACACAGGAGGTCAGACTGGTTGATCAAGTGGTCCCTTCTGACCTTCAATTTCTATGACTCTATAATAGGGTAGGCAAACTTTTTGGCCTGAGGGCCACATCTGAGTTTGGAAATTGTATGGGTGGCCAGGAATGCTCACAAAATTGGGGTTGGGGTGCAGGAGGGGGTGAGGGCTCTGGCTGGAGGTGCAGGATCTGGGGTGGGGCCAGAAATGAGGAGTTCAGGGTGCAGGAGGGGGATCAGAGCTGGGGCAGGGGGTTGGGGCACGGGGGGCGGTGAGAGCTCCAATTGGGGGTGCAGGCCCTGGGATGGGGCTGGGGATGAGGGGTTTGGGCTGCAGGAGGGTGCACCGGACTGGGACTGAGAGGTTCGGAGGGCAGGAGGGGGATCAGGGCTGGTGCAGGGGCATGGGAGGGGGGCAGGGGGGCAGGCTTCGGGTGGCGCTTACCTCAAGCAGCTCCCGGAAGCAGCAGCATGTCCCCCCTGCAGCTCCTACGTGGAGGCGCAACCAGGTGGCTCTGTGCACTGCCCCATCCGCAGGCGCCGCCCCTGCAGCTCTCATTGGCCACAGTTCCTGGCTAATGGGAGCTGTGGGGGCAGCGTGTGGAGCCCCCGGCTTCCCTTAAATGTAGGAGCTAGAGGGGGGACATGCTGCTGCTACCGGGAGCCGGGGCACATGCACATGGAGTGGCCCCTGACCCCACTCCTGGCTGGAGCGCAGCAGCAGGAGCTTGAGGGCCGGATTAAATCGGCTGGAGGGCCAGATGTGCCCCGCGGGCCATAGTTTGCCCACCCCTGCTCTATGATGTGCCCTAGGTTGCACAATAGGTTAGTGGCAGATCCAGAATTAGAACTCAAGTTTCCTGACTCCAAGTCCAGTACCCTATCCACTAGGCCACACTGCCTCTCAACTATTAAAAAGTGTGCACAGGTCCTAATAAGAATCATGCTGGGTGCTGTATAGACACCTATTAAAAGAAAGTTCTGGTCCTGAAGAGTTTACAATCTAACCCAATATGCAACATAAAGATGTAATAAATAGCTGGAGGGGAGATTGACCATAGATGAGGGTCACAGTGATTGGAACATGTGGTTGCAACGTGACTGTGTGCATTTCAAGGCAAAAGAATTTTTTAAACTATAATTCAGAAATAATGAAGAGCTGGTGATTTATTGTGAAAATATAATAGTAGAAGTACAAGTGGGTCTTCAAGAGGGCAGAGGCTCTAGGGAGGGATTTTGGGAGGGTGTTCTCTGCATAAGTGGGGACATGGAAGAAAGGGAGAAGGTGTGAGTGGAAACAGGTAGGTGATGGATGCTGGAATCTGGCGGAGTAGAAAAGGGGAGAGGGTGACATGCTAGGATAGAGGCAGACAAGTAGGGAACGGGTAAGTTGTGAAGGGCTTTAAAGATAAGCCCAAGAAGCTCATCTTTGATGTAGTAGAGAAGGAGGGAGCCAGTGGATAGAATTAGTAGGGGTGATCTTAGCATTTATGATTTGAGTAGACCTGTCAAAGTGGATGGACTGAGCCCACTTACGGATCCCTTCCCAAAATCCATTCTTTAAAGGCTCTACAAAAAAGTCAACAAAAACATATTGTCAATGCTAGCAAAAGCTGCTGATTGGTCTAACCATCAGCAATGACACTATTCATGTGTCCATCACTAGACGGAGATCACAGATAACAAGAACATCTCCCTATCTGAAAACACAGGGATCAAACATACCTATCAGATCAAGATGTGACTTGAATTGCTTCAACACCATTTTCTCAATGATCTGCCCCCCAAAACAGTAGGTTAGAGATTAGATGATAAATTGTTAGTGTTTTGAAACATTCCCATATGTAGGATGGGATCTCGGTGGTGAATATCTGCTTTCTAAAAGGAGAACTGCGACCATTTGGAAATCCTATTTTTAGGCTGGTTGACCCACAAAACCACTATCCCAGAATGAACCAGGGATTAATTTGGCCCCTTAGACATAAATCTTCTACTTTGCCTGAGTGCCCCTTTCACATCACAAGCCCTTGCTGTCACTGAGAGCTGTTTTATTTCTCCATTTAATTGAATAATGCTGATGAGATTATCCAATTTTTGTTTCCTGTTACACGCACAGTACCTACTGAATAGAATTTTGCAAGAAAACATCACAAAAGTTCTGCTAGACTGGGAATGTTTTTCAGATGAGGCATAAAAGTGTGGTCCTGACCAGTTCTGGTCATTAAAGCTTCCATAATATTTTTCACATGACCAGAAGTGTTAACCCTGGGATACTATAGTCCGGCATTGGTAATTACACTCTGCCTATCTAAAATGTATCCTGTGCTTTTAAATAGTGAAGCTGTTCTTCCCTTCTCCTAAGGGAAAAACTTGTGGCACAGATTGTTACCGACAAATACAGCCCAGGTGAGTAGTGACCAGAAGTTGTCACCAGCTAACAGTGGTTCAGTGGCCAATAACTTGCGAGGTCACAAACCACCAATGCAACAGGCTAATTACACTCTTGCTAGCAGTCTCAGTAGACTGGCCAAAGATTGAATGGGCATGGAGACCAAAGAAACCATCTTGTCCCTGGTGAGTGAACCCCTGTTGTTCAGGGGTGAGGCAGGGCGGGAAAACTTGCACTGCCATTGCCATTATGTGGCTGTACAGAAGACTTTAGTCTCTCATGCTTATGTACAGTGTTGGATTGACAGTCCTTTACACCCCACAGAAAGCAGCTGTATTTCAGTGATATAGTAATTGAATGCTCCCTATGAAGAGTCTGCTAAATTATTTGGGTTTCTTCTGGATGAAAATTTCTGTACAAATTGGATAATGGTTCTTTCTCTTTGCTTAGAATGTAAATATTGTCAAAAACAATGCCCTGGACTATTTACTTCATGCAGTTATTCTTCAGTCCTAATACCGTTTTAAATTGTACCATGTATATGAAAAAAAGAAATCCCAAACTTCTGGGCCGAGATTAAGTTCTACAGAGCACGGGAGGTACAGTGTGGCTATGTCTGAATAAAAGCAACCTAAACCCAGTTAAATGCCCAAATGGTGTTGCCAGTTGGTCTGCAGGATGACAAATTTGTAGGCCACAATACTTGGATAATTGCTTATAATACCTTTGTGTGTGTGTGTGTGTGTGTGTGTGTGTGTGTGTCCATTAACACCCACTAACTCTGCTTTTATGGTCACTTCAGCATTTTAACCCATATTTCAGTAGATCAAAAGTCCTCCTCTCCTTTTTATGATTTTCCTCCTCTCACCTCTTATTATTGGAAACCCCATCTTTCTGCATCCCTGTGCTTCTTTTCCCCCTTACTCTTTTCTCTCTCTCCATCTCATTGCCACCTCCTGCCCTTCTCACTAGTCGCAATACCTCTGAACCTCCAGAAGAAACACCTAACCTGTAGCTAACTTCCCACAGTGAATTACAGGAGAGGGGATGCAGTAAGTTATTTCTAGCCAAGAAATATAATCTCATCAAAGCAGCCAGGCATTCCTGCCCTTAAGGCCATGTATGCATTGTTACTTAAGTAGGCACTGTTCGATACTAGCAGGTTAAAACACTGTGCTCACTGCAGGTGGGAATCTTCTTTTCCTCTAGTAAAATCTTTAACTTCTTCAGTGCATTCTCCAGCCAAGGATGGGGTATAGTTAGGCCTGACAAAATTCAATTTTTATTTTTTAAACATTTTTATGGATAATATTTTTAAGCAATTTTTTATTTCCATGCATTTAAGTGTTCGTAGTTGTGCAAAGCTCTGGATTGTATGTTTTTTTCATTTTTTACTGATTGTACATTTTCACTGTTCTGGAAAATTATGGGGGTCGGACAATTATTTAATGACAGATGTTGTGATTCAAAACATTAAAGCTTTCCAACTATTAAAACCCAAAATTGTCAAATCACATGTCAAAGTATACATGGTAAATATCCTTAAATCAAACTCTAGCAAGTTCTCAAGCATTTTTCTTACTTTGTGTATCTGTACATTCTTCTTATTATAGAGGGAAATGATTTTATCGTATACTCACAAACCAATGAAAAAATAACAATTGCTGACAAACCTGATCCTTCCAAACCTATCTGTAGTGTAGCACTCTTCTGAGCAGGTCAGTTTTGTTGATGGCTTTGGCTGTGCAATACGTGGCAACCCTCTCTCCTCCTTATGAGAACAAGAAACCAGCAGTTGCTGAATGCATTCTCCTGCATGATAGTACAGAGAATATTCTGTGGTCCCCAGGCCAGCTTACAGTGCAGAAGTTTGGCAAATTTTCACATGGCTTCCTGCATATGAGAACAGAGCAGAAACAGGATTGAGCGGGGAGGGTAGATGTATACATCTGAAGCTGGCAAACTCATCATTGGTAGTTTGTTATAGGCAGTGGGTGAAAGACTGACCCAGATCTGAAAAAGAATGGCACCAGAACCTAACCTTAGCTGGTCTGGTAAAATACTTGAAGGCTAACTTTTTGGCTTGCAGTTC